TATATATAAACAAAAAACTTTTGATTAGCGTAATTACCAGACAGTCACAATGATGTCAGAATTCCAAATACGTCAGACTTCAGAATTTAATAAGAATGCCTTCTACGCTGATGTTGTTTACAGCTAATACAAAACACAGTTCAGTGTATTCTGAATCATTGTATCACATTAAATCTTACATACATTGCACAATACATCCTCTTACCATGATTCCAATGTTGCTGACGTCTAAAGTCCAATAGGACAGCACGTAGCTAGCATGATCACTCAACTTATCAATTATCAAATCCCACCAGCTTCCAATTTGGAACTGGAACACATTATGGTTGGTTGGTTTTAAACCAACCAACCATAATGGTTCCCAGACACAAGTTTTAACTTCAGGGGTTAACAGAACCCAGCATAATTAGTCAAAAGAACTTCAGTTTTAACTGGGAGTTTTCAAATGTTTCCATCTCTTCTTTTTCTTCTCAAATGTTTTAGATCATTCAAAAGTAAATGTGCTTATTTGCTCATCATCATATTTATCTTGCAAGTAAGTGTATTAATATTTTAGTCAAATTGCAGTAGTGTGTGGACCATAAGATTAAGAAGACCAGCAATACTTTTCAATATTTTTTTTATTTACATTTACATGGAAAATCTGCAGCTGCAGTTGAGTTGAGTATTGGACAACTCTTCTGATTCTTTTTGCAAGGAGCTGGCTGATTTATGGTGAAATGACATTGTGGGTTTTTTTTTTTCTTTCTTGTTCTAAACATTGATTTTGCAGGACAGAATGGTATTAGAGTATGTTGACCATCTGTAGACAGCGCATGCTTGTGTGTAGGTTGTAGTGAGATCCATGCTACCCAACACCTACCTCTGGAAGTCTTGACGTCACCGTTGCTCCGTAGTCACGTTTCTCCATCCTCTTAGACAATAGGTTAAAAGGAGAATTAAGAAAAAAAAAGTTCCTTTTATATTTTCTTAATCCTAATTGCCAACACGGTCCCAATTCCTTTTCGGCTCCTCTGGCATGAGCTCAAATCAGCAGGGGTCGGGCTGCGGGGAGGAGACGTGTGGCACTGGGAACCGAGGATGAATATTTAACGACGGTTATTCTTCGACGGCCGGGCCGGGGGCTTGAGTTCCACGCACTCCGGTGAGAGCTGATGAGCTCCGTGGGTGGGCAGCACCGCTCATAAACACAGCGATACACACACACACACACACACACATACTTATGCGTGTCTGAGTAAAATGTGACAACAAAATAATTTAAAACACAGCTCGACATAAGGAGGGAGGGGAAAAAAAAGTTTGTTTTCCTTGTAGCAACCTGCCTTAGTTGTAGCATTTCTGCAAACATTTCCTCTCATCCGGACTGAACACGGCAGGAAAGTGTGTCATGAAATGGCTCAAGGGGGACGTAGCACAGCAGATAAAGGCGAGCGTTACAACTAATTTAAAAAAAGGGGAAAACATTGCGTTTCTACATGAGCGATCCTCCTGTCGCCCGCCAGATGGACCCGCCTGACAACAAACAAATAAACGGTGAAGGCAGCGCCACAAACTGCTGCATTCAATCCGTAACCCAGACGACCTTGCCGTCTCCCGGCATCACCAGCTGGCCGCCAGAATCAAAACACTTCTTGGCTTTGATATCATACCTGCTGGGGCCAAGCCGCAACGCTCGGACCTGACTGGTTTTAGAAAAACATGCAACACGCCTTTGGCTAGGTTCGTGCTATTTTTAGAGCTGTTGCTGCAACAGTGACTTACACAGTATAGATCCGATCATTTGTAGGAACTAATGTAGACTGCAGGAGATGTTTGGCTTCCTGTTGCGGTTGGCAGACGAACAACTTCAACGGTCTTGGTCAGGGCAGGCAGCTGTCAGATCTGAGCTCTTTTTTAAATATAATTGTGAGAAACTAACAGTAATCCTTCAATGTCTTCACTGAGCACACATAAAAAATATACATTTAGCTGACTAAATATAGGCTTGCATGTCAGAGCACCTGTAGGCATGGGTTTTAAAGTGATACACTTCCTCCATATAATAGGAGCATCTCAATATTTGACCATCATTGCAGTGTGTAGAATGTCTTATCCTGTGAAAATCTAAAGGCTACAGGAGACCAAGTTTAAAAAAAAAAAAAAAGATTTTAAAGAAAGAAGTTACTCGCTATGGCCTACACAACACTGCTGATTTGACAGTTATCCAGCAAAGTCACTACAACCTACAAGGACATAAGGCTATAGATAGATAGATAGATAGATAGATAGATAGATAGATAGATAGATAGATAGATAGATAGATAGATAGATAGATAGATAGATAGATAGATAGATTATTGAATTTTGTAATTTATTACAAATTAAAAAAGCAAACAAGAATATAAAACATCTGAATAAAGTTAAAAAAAAACATTTTCAATGTTAATGTTTGTCATTTAAGCATTGTAAAATAGAGCAATATTTTATAAAGATTTTCCTCTTCTATCCATATTTAGTACATTCTAAGAATACATGCTTTACCCTTTTCTAGTTCTCTACAATACACATAATTAGCTGTCTCATGTTAATTGAACCTATTTAACCCAATGTGACCACATCTATGACTTGTTCTTAGCTCATATTTGATTGTACTATCAACTTCACTTTTGGTCAATTTTATATTTACAAATATTATTCATATCACATCTCATTTTGTTGCAATTTTAGCAAATTTATCAGCTTATTAATTTACTTCCATTCAATGTGCAGTGATTCACAATCACTGAACCTCAATACCGCTTTTCGTAATTCTGAATGCTAATTGAATTATTTCTATCACCATACCCTGCCATGAGATTGAAAGCATCCTTCACATGGCTGCATGTTGATGAAAATACCACTCCCATGCATCTCTGTGGCTTCCAGCAGTTGCTTACATGACAAAACTAATTACATACCAGGAACTGGGGATAGGAGAGGTCTGCTGTTGTCTTTCAGTTTTCAAATAGCTGACACAAAAAATACACATCGGTTCCCAGCCATTACCATCTGACTTCAGAGAAGTTTTCATATGGACATGAACAGATGCTTGCTTGAATTTTCATGGCAGTTTGTTTAATTTATTTTACTTTGGATCTCCATCACTGACATTAATTCACTTTTTTATTTTTTTTCCAAATTTATTGACTTGCATTTGTATACAAGTCATAATTCTGGAGAGGAATTATGGAAGTGTTAAAATTAGCCATGCTTTATTTATTTTTTCTAAGCAAGCATTGTAAATTGTAAATATATGGTTTGCTTTGAGATGACGTTTGCTGTGAATCTATAAGTATAATCATAAAATTTTGCTTTGGTAAAAAAAAAAAAAAAAAAAAAAAAATCCAATCAGAAGGGGCTTGCCTGTGGCACACCACTGAAAAACTAAGATATTAGAGCAAATTTGTTTATTTAGAACAGGGGTCCCCAAACTTTTTCATGTGAGAGCCACATAACTTTTCCCTTCTCTGGTGGGGGGCCGGAGTTAGTTTGTAACAGAAAAAGTGTGACGATTGCAGGAGTGCCTAAATGTGAAAATTTGTTTTCCAGAAAGCACAATCAAATAACCCTCTCTGGGTCCTTCACAGAAAAAAATCCAGGAAATAACACTATTTATGAAATAAATCGTATTTTCTGGACTATAAGCCACACCGGGCTATAAGCCTCAGATATCTCTGCCGCTCTAAGTTTTCCACAGCGATGCAGCACGCAGCAAAGGGGGGCGGACACCCAAAATTTGAGTCATAACAGGTCAATTGAATATCACATTTATCACGGTTGGAAAAAGAAAAGGCTGCCAAGTTTAGATTTAACTAGGGTTGCCACCCGTCAAATAAAATACAACTTGTTCCGTATTCTACAAATGTGGATGTACAAAAATAAGCACATCCGAGTACTTTATATAGCAGGCTGCCCCAGTCATTGTTTCACTAATGGTGTTGGTGTTGCAATATTGTGCCCAACTGCTTTCTGGGTAACACAGACCAACCGACACGCTTCCGCCGCAGTCTCTTCTCTTCTGAGAACTGTAGTTCAGTTCAGTACAGTAGTTTCTGAACGGTAACTCTAACAGTAAAAGTGCTGATCCTTTATGTCTGCTACTAGCATGTGCTAAATGAAAATGGGCACT